CTGAGGATTGTGAAATTTATTGCCATAGAATTGTACAAAGTAAGAAAGGGGCTGAGGATGTTGCCTAGCACAGAAGCCCAGTGTTCAATCCTCGGTACCTAGCACAAACCCACAAAGTACATGGCAATTTACTTAGTCTGCTATCAGAATATTTGTCTCTGCCCTAACCCAAATTCTCACATTGAAGCCTCACTGCCTCATGTGATAGGCGAGGCTATTGGGAGGTTAGGTTAGGTGAGGCAGTAATGGGATTAATGTCCTCATAAGCAGAAGACACCAGGCCCTTTCTCTCTCTCTGCCACATTAGAATATAGTAAGCCAGGAAATGGAGCCATCCCAAAACCTAACCATATTGGCACCATGATTTCAGACTTTAGCTTCGGGACTAGGAGAAATAAATGTGAGCTTTATAAGCTACCTACGCTCTGGTGTTGTGCTACAGTCTAAGATAGAACCATTAGAAGGGAAGGGGATGAAAAAGAATTCGATTGTGCTGTGTACATGTGCCAACTCCACAAGAGAAATAGTCATGTACTGCAGACATGGACCAGTAAAAATGTTTTAAAAAATTTAGCCAGGCTCCCCTGGCAAGTGCAAGGGCCTGAGTTCAATCCCTGGTTTAAAAAAAAAAAAAAATTATCCAGGCATTACAGTGCACACTTGCACTTACAGGAGGCAGAAGCAGGAGGATCATAAGTTAAAGGTCAAACCTGCACACCGAGTTAAAGCCAGCCTGAAGTATACAGTGAGACCCTGCCTCAAAAAAAAAAAAAAGCAAATGCATATACTACCTCCAAAAAATTATTTTTAAATGATATAACCTATTAAGAATGAATGCGGCCATTTCTGCCTTAGGCACTAATAAGAAATAAACATTAACAAGTAGAAATAAAACATATGGTTGATAAAAATAATAATAATAGAGGCTCCAATACCCCATTTGCATCAATGGAAAGGTCATCTAGACTACTCTCCAACAACTAATTAACAAAGAAACACTGGAGTCGAGTCATACTATAGACCAAATAGACCTTATATACATCTACAGAACATTTAACCCAACAGCTATAAAATTCTTCTTCCCAGCACATACACGGAATATTTTCCAGGACAGACCACATGTTTGGCCACAAAATTCAATCTCAGAAAAAAAAATTAAATTGGGTTTTTAGGACATAGTTTTTCTAGTTACTTCAAGCTGACCTCGAACGCACTGTGCAGTCCAAACAGATTTCAAACTTGTGATTCTCCTGTCTCAGCCTCCCAAGTGCTAGGATTATAGGTGTGCACCACCATACTATGCTCAGCATATCTTTTTAAAAAATGAAATCACAGTATGTATTTTCTGATCATAATGACATAAAACTAGAAAACAAGAGCTTTTTACTACACACTCATCAGAAGGGCTAAAATAAAAATAGTAACACAACAGGTTGGCAACGATGCAGAGAAACTGACTCATAGGCTGCTGACAGAAATATAAAAAGGGAACATCCACTCTAAAATATTTATATTTTTTTCTTGAACTAATCATGCAACTACCAAATGGCCCATTAATTATGTGCTTCAGCATTTATCCCAGAGAAATAACTTATGTTCACCCATTATACACACAAATGCTTATATAGCAGCTACATTCATAAGATGCAAAAACAATCCAGTTCTTCAACAGGTAAACGATTAAACAAACTATGCTATAACAATACAATAATGAATTTTAAAAATACGAATAAACTACTAATACATATTGACAAAATAAAAAGTTTGAGACAATCAAGTTTTTTATAAACTTAAGATGAGTATTGTATGAAAGGAGAGAAGGTTAGCACTCCCCTTGACAAGGATGGAAGAGGCCCTCAGGCCTGACAACACGCATACAGTTAAGACACTGTCACCTACTTCGTGGCATCTAACCACTGTTTTTTGTCATTTGGGTCATCTAAATGTGTACTACTTCTAATGTCATACCAATTATTGCTATACTCTCTTTAAAGTTTAAAAAAAGGTAATAAAAGTAAACAAGGGACAATAAAAACAAAATGTAGCAGGATTGTACTGCTACAATGTTATGTAGAGTTTGATTTCTAAATTTCTGTGTAAAAAATGTGTAATTTTTAACATTCTATAGGGATTTAAATTTTAGAATATCCATGGTTGTTGGAAAATAGTAGCTCCATTTTATTTTATTTCTAAGATATGTGATATTCAGACAGTGATGTTAAGCTCAACTGCCTCTGTTATAGGATAATATAATTAAGCTTCTCTTCTGGATGGTTAACAAAGTTTGCAGACCAAAAATTAGACAGATAGATGGACTATAAAGATAGCAATATTTTGGCCCTAGCCCTTCAAGGTCAGTGAGGACTCAGGACATAAGAGAACCTCTGCTGTGACATCCTGTAACTAAGTGGTGTCCCAAATTTTCTGATTAAGGAGATTATAAGGCCACAGAGGAAAGTGATCGATGATGGATAGTATACCT